TCTTCTGTCTAGTTGTGGAGGACGTTGCTTCACTGGCCCATGTTGGCACCATCATTGCATTCTTCCCGGGCGAGGCAGATCAGTTGCCGGCTTCTGGACGGCCGCTCATTGCGGCTGCTGGCCGCTCACGCTGGCTGCTGGCCACACACGGTAGCCCATGGCAACCCACTGCCACAGGGGCTGCAGCCTATGCCGTTGCCGGCGACTCATGGCAGCCCAGCTCCAGGTTGAGCTGTTGTTCAGCATCTTAGCTGTGGAGGGCAGTGTCACTGGCTCTCATATGTGGGATCCGAACCGGGGCTCTCTGGTGTCCCAGGCCACTTCTTAACCATCATGCCACACGGCCCATAGAATCATTTCTATGACGACTAGCTGTAATGAACAAAAACACTGTTATACTTCTGTTTTGAAATGTGGAGTGAATGCTAAAGTCCAAAAGCTACCCAATACAGTGTATTTGGGGATAGGACATAATATTAGGAGAAGTATAGATGAGCCTGGCCAAGTAAGAAATTTCCATAAATTACTGTAAATATAGAGATGATCTCATAAGCAATGATCTGGAGAAGAAACAAGAACATAGCCGATATCTGAGCTGAATACTATAGTTGTTCTTCCTTATTTATAAAACACCAGTGTCTCTTATGCCTTAATCATCTCTCTTGGAAAATTGGATGTCCTCCAACATGCCCAGAAAAAAAAGGGTAGGAGGTGAAAGAAGTGCCAAATGAGAAGAATGTCACTTCTGTCACTGATTTAACCTCTGTGTACCTCCTATGACAAAACTAATAGGTTTAAATATTTTACATCACACTGTTGCATTTTCCCTTTTTGTGTAAAAACCAGGCCATCCCTATAACACCAGCCTGTCCCTATCGAGCTATGATCTTAATTTTCTACCCATTTGAGAAAGCATTTTCCTGATTCTTAAATTAGTATATTAGGCTGCATCACTCTACATAATTAATCTCTATGTTCCCCAGACTCGTTTTCTTTCTCATGGCAAAAATCAATTCCCTGTTTCCATGTTATGAATGCTGAATGATGCTTTTCGCGGCTACAGCCTCTTGAAGCTCTAAATTCCATGAAGTTTCATGGTTTATGTATCGTGTAATTCTTTCCATGTAAGTCTTACTTTTTTTTTTTTTTTTTTACTGGTAGCTAAGTGTTTTCTGTGTAGCGATGCTCCACTGCTTAACAAATTATTTACATTTCTTTACTTTGGTCTTTCATTTTGTGACAGCATGGATCTAGCCTACTTGCCCAGTGTTCTCTCTTCCACCCTTACATGAATCTACTCTTCAGCCAAATTGGCTCCATCCATTTCTAGATCTGTTCTGCTGTTCGTGGTGTGGCCTCCGCTTGAAATGCTGCTTCCCCATTTTGACCTGTTCAGAATCCCATCCATCTGTCAAAGTCAAACTCTTATATAACATAATATGCTTACGTGGCCTTCCTTCTTCCTCATGTGGGCATATCCCAGTCGCTTTTTGTACCTTTGGACGTACCTATCACTTCTAGATACCTGTGTACTCGTCTTCGCTATTAAATTGTAGGAGATTCATGCACAAGATTAGCTTCATTGTGGTTATTTGACTTGCATATGTTTTTGTCACTACTGGTTGTAGCATGCAGCATGATCAACTGGTATGTTATCCTATGGGGACTAAATGAAAAAATATTATTCTAGTGAATTCATTTTTTACGACGGTTAATTTACAAAACTGTGACAATGACACCTGATGTCTGTCAGCCTGAAAGGAAACTCACTGCTCAGCTTATATAAAATAGTAGCAGCACTTTCAAAATGGTCTTAATAAGATTTGCTATATTGAGACAAAGGACCATGACGTCATTCTTACTAACCTCTGAAGCATAATAAATTATGGTCAGTTTTGGCATTAATCCAATTTTACCATTAACTTTCTCATAAATTTTGATTTAAGGAGCATTGTAAGACTTGTAATTAAAGGAGGTACATTAGAAATTTATTTCCTGTCTGTAATTGGCCGTATTCTGAAAAATACGGAAGCTCTATGAATACCTGTAAACCTGAGGGATAGTAAAATATCTGAACAACCTTTTTATTTTTTGTTTTTTTCCTGATGGCTCATTCCTAAAATTAGTTGCAACCTCAAGTCCAAATTTTTATTTTAACAAATAATTGACTAAAATATTTGTTGACTATTAAATTTCCTAAGACTAACAAGGTGGCTATATTTCATGGTTATTTTCTCTAGATGCCATCAGCGCATAGATATATTTTATAATAATTTGTTGCTTTTTGTAATCATGGATTAGTAATTATTATCTACTTGCACAAGTCTAGACCAGTAATATATTTAACTCTGAATGTATAGTCGGCTTTTATCATCTAAGATTATTTACAAGGGTGCAATTATATCATTAGATGCTTTCTTTACTTTCTTTCTGTTATATAGTAGCTTAGACAATATGAGATTGTTTCTGAATATGGTTTCACATGATGTGGGCATTTATTTATTTTAAGTGTATAAAAGTTATTTTTTTGCTGCCTTTCTTCACCAAATATGTTTTTAATTTAATGATTTTGCCCCTTTGAAAAGTTGAAGATTTCTGCCAAGTCAATTGACATGAATATAACAAAAATAGATCAGTATGATCCTGCTCTTAACTGTCTGAACCATTGACAACATTTTTTTTTTTAAAGGAATATCTCTTTCAGAAAGTAGGGGACATGCTCAGTGTGGTCAGCTGCAGAGGCAGGTTTCAATAGTAAGGTTTTCCTTAGGTGACACTAATAACCCTTGGACTGCTTATACAGAATATTTTTCTTCCTAAATGATTTGAGGTATGGAAGATCGACAGTCTCTACAACCAGAGCACCTGATTAAGCCATTTTGATGACACTCTTCCTTCTACTGTGTGTACTTAAATAATAGTTTTATAATCTCTCGAATGAGTCCTGTTTGCTTACCACTGAGCGCATTGTATGTATTGATTAATCTTTAGTAGTATGCTATCAATACGTTAGATAATTCTAATATTCATTATAAAAATGAGGTATTTGAAACCATGGGAGGCTAAATCACTTTTCCGTAGACCCGTGTACTCTTATTAACTGCATTCCTTTTTTTTTACCAAGCTCACTTGAGGAAGGCATGAGGACATTTGATCAGGGTATCTCTGTGGGTTCTGGTTTTGAAGTGCCACCTTTGATCCAAGCATATACTAATGCTAGATAAAATACGAAGACAGGAAGTGTAAAAGCCACAGCTGAAGTCTGAATTTATCATCTCGGTGACCCAGGCATTGAAAGGAAACGCGAGCAATGATGAGTTATAAGCTGTGCTGAGGCCTCTCTGGCCTGCTGGCCACTGGTGGTGGACAGTGGGGGCTGGTACAAGGTCTTCAGGGTTATGAGAAATTAAAGCCATTCCACACTAGGTGGAAACCAGGGTGTAGAGAAGGCCTCCTCCACTCCTAAGCAAAGGATGAAAAATCTGCTGCCCTCCACTGCTTGAGATGATAGCTTTTGTGGACTTAAGATAGCAAGAGGGGCTGAAGATGGCACCACGAAGCTGACATGACCATTAAACTCGGCTCTGAATCAAATCATTCAATAGTTCAGTGATGAGACTGGTAATAATCCAGATGTCAGCACAACATAATACTTGAATCACCAATATGGAACTGATTATAGTTTGGTGTTTCTGGGCACAAAATGAGCACAGAATCATTTGTAAGGGAAAGATGATGAGAGAGGAGATGGAGCTGTATCAAAAAACTACATAAAACTAAATTAGAAATCCTCCCACTTTAAATGAACTTGCAAAAAAAAAAAATTCCAAAGCACATGAGAAAGCCTAACACTAAGAAATAGCCAACAAAATTGACCATTGAAAAGAAATGTGACCCAGCAGAAATTACAATGTTGGAACAGATTGACAAAGTATATTTTGGATACACAAAATATAAACAAAGGGTTGTAATCCATTAAAAAGCCAGAAAATCTTGCAATAAAAAGAGTCAAGTATCCAATTATTTATTTACAATTGTTTATTAAGATCATACTATGCTACACACACTGTTTTAGGTACCAGAGATGCAGCAATGAACAAAAGTAAATAAAACCCATAACCACAAAGAGTTTATATTCTTGTGGGGGAGTTTACCTCTCAGTGGTGGAAATAGGCAGAAAATCTGGAAATTGTAAAGATAATTATTGAAACAAAATTCCCAGTAGAGATGATAAACTGTAAACAGAATTTTTCATATGGAAGATATTACTTAGCAAATCACCTAAAATACAGTAATGGGAAAAATGAAAGTGTGCATGTGCGTGCATGTGTATGTGTGTGTGTGTAAGCATGGAGAGAGAGAGAGAGAGAGAGAGAGAGAGAGAGAGAGAGAGAGAGAGAGAGAAAACACATGAGAGTATGCAAAGAGATAACAGCTAAGATTATTTTAGAATTGAAGACAAGACTCCTTCAGTTGAAAGTACACTATGAGACTGTCTGGATAAACAATAAATCAACATCAAAACACTCCGTGGTAAAACTTTAGACCATCGAGGGTAAAACGAAAATCTTAACTCATCAGAGAAAAAATATTGACTAGCCCCAAAATAAAGACAGCAAGACTGAAAGCTGACACCAAAGCAGTATTGCAGGGAAGAATGCCCTCTCATTCTAGATTCTAGAACTCTGTGCCAGTGTATACCACAGACAGACACTGACCAAAAATATTCATTGAATAATCAACTTTAAAAGCTGAATATTCTCAAGGAGGCAAACCTAGAAATAAAGTATGGATTTAAAGGAAAATATTTCAGTCATTTTTTCTGAATTGAAGGTGATTAACTCTTTTTTTTTTTTTTGGCAATCCCACTCAGCCTAGTGTTCAACACTTTTGTTTATTCGTTTTTATTTAAAAGGAAGTCAGTGACACTTGTATGTAGTCTCCATGCATTTTCATTTTTTCTAATAATAAAGGATCATTTCTTCCTTGGATTCTTCCAGGGCATTCTACTTGGACAAGTCAAATTCACCGCCAAACTCCACATCCAAAGCTGCCTATGTCGATAAGGTAAACCTCGATGACTTCATTTACTGACGCTTGGCCAACTGCATACCTCCTTAATTTAATTTTTCTGCTGTTGTTCTTGAGCAATGTCTACGTAATTATAAATATTTCGAGCCTCCGATTCTGTTACCGCCATAGTGGAATATTTTAGACTATTCCATTAAAAGTTATAACAGCCATGAATTGTATTCCATCTACAGGGATTTCTTTCTACTAAATGTGCTGAACTTTGTGTTCATCCCTTTGTCCTGCAGCTCATGAGACCACTCAATGCTTTGGATGAACTTTACCGGCTGGTAGCCTCGTTCATCAGATCCAAGCGCACAGCTGCCTGTGTGAACACGGCGTGCAGTGCCTCAGGAGTGGGGCTGCTCTCAGTGTCCTCAGAGCTCTGCAGCAGGCTGGGGGCCTGTCACATCATCATGTGCAACAGCGGCGTGCATCGGTATGTGAACTTGACCCTTGTCTGTGTCTTTGCTACCCGGATTCCATTTGGTGGTTCTTGTTTACATGTTGGCTACATGAAATGATAACTGGAAACCTTCCAAGGACTCAGATGTATTTGGAATAAGACTTCAGCAATTAGATAATCCTTACACAGTTTTTCCTGGCTTTAGTGCTTATGTTATCAATGACTCTTTATTCATGCAAATGAATACAGTCCTATATTGATATCACTATGGCCCAGAATTTTATCACCCTGGTATTTATATTACAAGATTTATACTTTAGGTACAAAATTGTGCATCGATTTTATTCACTGTAAAATGTTGCTTGATTGGGTTTGATGCAGCTAGCTAAACAAAACATTTCTCACTGCACTTGATGGACACTACACTTTTCAGTGATTTGCATCCCGATTACCCAGTTGTGGTGAGCTGGATACTGCCTTGGGGTTACTACTGCCTTCCCACCCCTGACAAAATTATAGTTCAGGAGCCCACACCATATGCTGTTCCTAAAAATATAAGGGGAAATCTAGATGGGTCCTAGTCAGGTGCTTTGTCATAGGAAACTGTGCTCTGTCTGGGACAGCCGAGGCAGCCGTATGAATGCATTTAGCAACATCAGGCGTAAGAGGAGAGTGGAGAACCCCAAGTCAAGTCCCTTTTATAATTACTTGCCCTTTTTGTCACCTCTCCAGCTTTACCAGGAAGCAGAACCGTGCTGGGCAGAATTTAGTCCTCATTGTAATCTGAGTAGGCGGAGAGCCTTCTGTCATCAGTCATTGCCTCTTCTTAGTTCTGGGCCAGTGAGATTTTGAGGATGGTGATTATTGTTTATTCAGATTTACTTGGTACTTCAAACTCATGTGAAGGACTGCAGTTGGTGCTATTGGCTGTATGATGTCATAAAGTGGTGACACTCAAGTTAGAGACATAAAGTATGAACACCGAACAATGAAAATAATAGCAAAAATAATATAACATAATAAGATAACAAAAGCATAATAAAACTAACAAAAATAACAAATAAACCTAGATTACAAGGAAATGCAAATGACCTAGGGAAGTTGCAGATAAAAATAGGATTCATAGGGAAAATACTCGTAGATCTTTGAGATAGTTAGAACTGGGAACTTTCCAGGGAGAAGGTGATTTGTGAACTGGATTTGAATGGGTCAAGTTGAGGTAGAAATGGGGAGAAAGGTGATTCAAGGCACAGCAACTTCTCATGTATGAAATTGTGTTTAGACTCGGTATGCCTGGATTCTAGTTTTCAAGTCCTATACAGCATAATTTTGCTTATGAAATGTGGCAAGACTTTATTTCTCTGAAAGGAGCATGACATTTTTGTGGTTGATACAATACACAGAATTTCCCACCTATTTTAATTGCTGTATACTTTGTGCTCTATTGCAAACTTATTAAGAGCTCAATTGAAAGTATCACCTTCAACCAAATACGTAAAATTATTTCATAATTTTTTTATTAGCAGAAAAGTGATCTTTCCCTTATGATCAAGCCATGTTCACTCATTCTGCTCCCATTCATTCATTCATTCAGTTATTCACTCATTATTCACTCACTCAATAAATATATATTGAGCCCCAATTATGTGCCAGCACTGGTCTAGTTGTTGGGGATTCAGCATTGAAACATTAAAGTCCCCACTCTCATATAGTGTGTATTGTGTTGGGGGGACACAGATGAGAAAGTAAACAAATAAATATGTAATGTGGTAGGTTGAACAGAAGGCAGAGGGGTAAAAGATGACAGGATGAGAAGAGGCAGTGCCTTCGAAAGGGGGGATTTTGTTAGAGACCTGTATGAAGGTATGCAGGTTATCTCAGAGAAGGAGCACTCTGGGATCATCAGAGGGCCCATCAGAGGGAACGGTCATGCAAATGTGGGTGCTCAAGTGGGAGCGTGTATGAAGTGTTCAGGGAACAGCCCGGAGGCAATGGTGGCCGTCCTCTTCATTATCTTGATTATTCATATTCTTGCCTCACCCTGGTGTAAGACCATAGTTATCTGAGCACTGGATGTACTGTGACAACCAAGGGGACACTTCGGTCTTGGAAACTACAAGCATATTCTCTTACCTCCACATTAATGTACTGAACGTTAATGCAATTAACTCTGCTATTTAATCGTAGGACCATGACCAAGTTGTCCAAATTGTTCTCAGATATTCCATGAGCAATTTGAGAATTTGACTGATGTTGTATAGGAGGCAAAGACTGACCCTCCACAACTGTTTTACATTGGTGTGCTAGAATCAGGTAACATTGGAATTTCATAGTAGTTTGATGTTTTTCCATTTCTATAATTCAAAATAAGTATAGCTTTAGTTAATTCATTTCGGAGATATTTACCGAGGTGTAGGCCCCAAAGCTCCATGACAGATACTGAACTTAATGTTAAAACTATTTGAAAATGGTGTGGTTTGGTCTTTCCATTATGCAGAATAAATTGGGAGTTTAACATTATCTTTGATCTTTTAGAGGAGGCTATGCTTAGATTTTTTTCTTGATGAGAAAATGTGTGCTTATTTATATTGGAATCAGAAATCCCACACAAGACTGGTTCTAAAATAATTCTTTAGCAATCATAATTCAGACAGCTAGAGAGGAGCCCTGGTAGATCCACACCTGGGGGTTTGTCATCAGGTTCCAACCAAAAAGAGAAGTTCACAATGTGAGTCAGAATAAACATTACACAAACTATTCCTATCATTTACTTTTTTTTTTTTTTAAGATTTTTATTGGGGAATTGGGGGGATGGGAACAGTGCTGGGGAATTGGGGGAAGGGGAACAGACAAGTTGCTGTCGTNAACAGACAAGTTGCTGTCGTTTTGTTCTTCAGTCTAGTTGTGGAGGACATTGCTTCACTGGCCCAAGTTGGCACCATCATTGCACTCTTCCTGGGCGAGGCAGATCAGTCGCCGACTTCTGGATGGCCGTTCACTGCGGCTGCTGGCTGCTCATGCTGGGTGCTCATGCTGGGTGCTGGCTACATACGGTAGCCCATGGCAAACCACTGCCACAGGGGCTGCAGCCTACGCCATCGCCGGTGACTCACGGCAGCCCAGCTCCAGGTTGAGCTGTTGTTCAGCATCTTAGCTGTAGAGGGCACTGTCACTGGCCCTCATATGTGGGATCCGAACCGGGGCCCTCTGGCGTCCCAAGCCAGTGCTTAACCATCGCGCCACTCGGCCGGTCCCTGTCATTTACTTTTAAAAACAACACAAGAAGTTGTCAACAAGATGATATCTACATTAGACAGTAAATTTCCTGCTTTTCTGATTCTATTTGCAAAAAAAAAAAAAAAAGAATTTAAAGTATTTTTAAAGTATTGAGTTATACTGCATGTGATTGATATTTAAAAAAAAAACAGGGGTGGCCGAGTGGCACGTTGGTTAAGAGCTGGCTTGGGACGCCAGCTCTGAGCAGCAGGGCCCCGGTTCAGATCCCACATGGGGGCCAGTGACAATGCCCTCTACAGTTAAGATGGTAAACAACAGCTCGACCTGGAGCTGAGCTGCCATGAGTCACTGGTGGCGGCGTAGGCTGCAGCCCCTGCTGCAGTGGGCTGCCATAAACTACTGTGTGTGGCCAGCAGCCAGCGTGAGCTGCCAAGAGCCGCTGTGAGCAGCCGTCCAGAGGCTGGCAACCTATCTGCCTCACCCGGGAAGAGCGCAATGATAATACCAACATGGGCCAGTGAAGTGACATCCTCCACAACCAGACTGAAGAACAAAAGGACAGCAACTTGTCTGTTCCCCTGCCCCCGATTCCCCAGCACTGTTCCCCTCCCTCAACATGACTTTCTAGATGTTTTAATGCCAACCTGAATTAGGTGGCAGAGCTGCATACAACAGTGAGTGTGTGATTAGTTGGAATAGAATTCAGGATGAATTATTAAAATCTTCTCATAGCATTTAGCCGGCTTTGTTTTTATTAAATTCTCTTTCCTAGGGTAATCCTTTGTGTTACAATTATACTGATAAACTTTCCTGCCCACACTCTTTTCAACCATTCCCTTATGTTAAACACCTTCATTGCTATTGAATGGTGGGAGAATGGCAGGACTGTCTTTCAGATCAGGTTTTTGCTGCTTAAGCAATATAAACATGGTGCTAAAAGATAATTTGATAAATGGAAAATTTCCAAAATTTCCTACCCTGACATACCTTTTATCTTTATTTTGCATCATCTCTTGCAACTTCTATCAAACAACACACATTTGAACATAGTTTTACAAATATATATATATAGTTTCATAGCCTACTTTATGCTCATAGGAACCATATATGCATTTCCAAAATGTACGTTTCGACTTTCTCATTATTGCTTTTATTTGTTACATAATATTCCACCCAGTTGTTATACCACAGTTTCCTCAGCTATTGGATTAGTGCTTTCTCGTCTTTCTCCATTGCACATGATGTCTGCAAAGAGTCAGCTTTCTTTATGTAGCTATTCAAATGTCAATTTATTTTCCAGTAAGCTAAAGAAAACAGAAGCATCCTGCAGATAAAAGTCCTGTGTCCAAGAGTGTAAACCTTTTTGGTTAATATATTATTGTTTCGGTTCCCGAAAGGATTGCCCTCATGCATAACACAACCAGAGGGTGAGACGAGGTAGTCTGTGACACATTCACGTTACTTTGTATGCAGAGGGTATTAAAATCCATTTATATATCCTGTTTCTCTACTAGATGTACAATGGTATTTCAGTAGGGCTTTAATTTAATTCTTTGGTTAACAAATACAAACATTCGAATATCTTTTAAATTTCCTTTCTTATGAAGACTTACACTCCATATTGTCCAAATACCTGCCTTACCGTTAACTTGACTTTTTGCCAAAGTGGGTGTTTTTAAAGTATTGAATCAGCATGAGGCTTTTAAAGTCCTCTTTCATATTCATGCCTATTGTTTGTCGCAGGCAACCCAAAAGCGTGTAATAGGGATTTCTAAATTCCCCTTTTACTCCATACT